CACGTAACTGAGACTGCGCCTTTTAGTACGGTGCGCCTTATGGTCGTAAAAATACGGTAGTTGGTAGCGACTGGAAGTGAATAGAAAAGGTTATTTCGGTTTGTTGTAAAAACTGCAAGAACCAGAATATAAAATAGAATATTTATCACCAGCAGGTTTCAATATTTCTTGTTCATTTGGGTATTTATAAACTGTTTCTCCATAGTTCATAAGAATGTGCAGTAATAATAATCAAAGCTGCACTCTGTTCCTTCTACATAACAATCCATTCTACCAGCTTTATTTGAACCTTTGGAGTTTAACTCCATTGATATTTATTTATTATTTTTATGCAGAATGTCTGCAGAAGTGACAGCAGCTTGCAGGTAGTGTCTGTCTCCCCCAAATAAACTCCAAGATCAGCTTTTTTGATTGGTTGACACTCCGGGGTCCAGCAGCCACAGTTCAATTTACTGAACTCGAGTGTTGGATGCTCTGTCGCTCAGACGCCATAGCGCTTCTCTGGAGCTCTCGACGCTGTCCCCCATTGACTCTGCCTGTAAAACAGACTGACGCCAAGGACGCACCTGGTGTGAACGCAGCATTAAAAATGTCCCTAACCAGTGAGTTTCGGTCAAACTAGCTCCTGCGTGCTCAGAGACTAACTGCTCTGTTATCTGCAGGTTTCTGAGTCGCCTTGGTCAAAAGGCTCAGAACAGGAACTACCTACAGTGGTTCTGGTGCTGAGCTAGTTCTAGCGGTTACTTAATGCACGAAGCGGTAGAAAAGAGACCTTGGCTTGTCCGTCTCCTAGCAACATGAGAGCCGATATCAAGATGGAGGGAGCTGAGCCTCACCAGACTGAGGCCCTGAGCAGGGTCGTACTTTGGGCCCAAAATGAAAAGCCGCTGGCCTTTCTTCACTGTTCCACTGTAGATCCGTGCAAACGCTACGAAGACCTCCCTCTGCTGCTCCTCTTCCTCCTCCTCTTCCTTTGTGTCCTTCGGAGGCAGACTGGGCGTCTTTGCTATAGGCAGGGAGACAAACAAAATCATTTGTTATTCAGAGAGACAGCTGTGAGCTCCGCAAAATGGTCCCTGAAGGCATCAGATCCAAACAGAGTTGACCTGGTGGGTCAGGGTTGGGTTAACTTTACACTTCAGAGACTCAATGACTGTAATGTTCACATGGTAATCGCACTGGTAGCACGACTTTCAATGTAACTGCCATGGCGCCCAGCAGCGGTGGCTTGGTCTGTTAATCTGAAACCGTTGATGAAAACTACTAGATCTGCTCTACTGTGAACATCCACATCTGGGGCAGACATCCTGACCTTCTACTGGGGGCCCATCTGGGAGCGCGGCACCTTCCAGCCTCTTCTCAGCGTGCCTCTGCCTTGCCACGTCTCTGCGCTGAGCGATCTGTTCCTGGCTCAGAGGCCTGCAGACAAACGAGTCCAGAAAGCATACAGAGAGAGAAGTTCAGCATTCAACCTGTGCACTAATCATGGTGTCTAATCAGCATCTTGATATGGCACAGCTGTGAGATGATCACTTTCACAGAAATGGGAGCAAAACTAAAAGTGTTTCGATTATATTTTTGTTGAGTGTAGCAAATAAGGGTAATGAAGAACATGACCACCCACACCAGCAAACAACCCTGGATTGATGGGGAGGTTTGGAAATTCACTAAAAGCACCTCAGCTTTCAAGCCTGGTGATAGAGAGGCACCGAGGACAACTTGAACCGTGCCATCAGATCAACAAATCAGAACCACAG